AATTAAAAATGCAAGTAGTTAAATATCAATAGCATGTAGAGGCACCTTTTTACCACCGATATTAGTCGCGCCTGTGGGCACTTGGAAAAATGTTGTACATATGGACCCCAGGTTTTTTATTTTTTTGTAAAAATAAATAATTAAAAGAAATTAAACCATTATCTTACGAGTGCCAGAACCCTGAAAACAATACAAAAGTGTTTAACATGCACAACCCCAAATCAAGAGTTCAAACTTCTTCCCGTGTTTAAGACAGCGACAAAAAAAAAAAAAAAAAAAACCTTTAATCTATTTATTTGCTTGCTATTCAGCCTTTTGCACTGCTTCTTGGTTGAAATGACTGCTTTCAACATGGGCAATGTTCTCTCAGCTAAAATATCACTAACAAACAGGTCAACCTAAACCTCACTAATACCTCAACTGAAATAAAGTTTTAATAAAATCCAATAATGCAACTCAAGTAATAACGTTCGTAGTATCCAACCAAACCACTCAGCCACAGTGAAACATCTCTTCGGTCACAGATTATAAATTAGTCACATGTTTCCATGCTTCGTCTGGCATCGAGCTCTCAGACTAAAGGAAAAGGCCTTTGAGAAAACTGAATATCACAGGAATGTAGCTGCTTTCTTCACATGCAGCAAACATTCAGCGATTCCAAACAACAGAATCAAAACCAGATTTATTTTTTTTGCAGACCAGGCTCTAAACACGTCCTTTCAATTTGAACTTTACCTTACAAATATGCATATATACACACTACACATGCTGAGGAGGACGAGGCCTGTGTGCCGATATGAGATACAGATACTTGCACTGGCACAACATGCGGCTATTAGGATGCAAAGGCTTGTGCATTGTGGATTGTGTCAGACAGACATGTGCAAACAGAAGCATCATTCATGCCCTTGTATTTTCTCTCTGGTCTCTCAGCTTGGCCTAGTGGTGGCCAAACATATGACCTCGCCTCCCCGAACTGATGGTCATGTGAGACAGCTTAAAGGTTCATTTCAGCATGGTAAGCAACATTAAACACTAAAATGGCAAATGTGAGTATATTAAAAAAAATAAATCATTTGATGTTTCAAAGCAAAAAAAAAAGCTTTCCACAGGGAATCTTTCAAACAAAAATGTACAACAATGTAAAAGTCTGCCTCCTTTCTTGTTGGAACCACTGCATAAAAATGACACCAAGTGCTAAAAAACCAGCTGAGCAGCTTAAATTTGAAAGTGCAAGAATTGGGTACGCCTAAAGATCTGATGCAGCGTATAGTCAGAACATTAAACCAAAGCAGCTAAGATGCATAATCACTGATTTTTTTGCAAGAAATTACAAAATGCAGTTACACTGATAGTTGGCTGCCCTCTAGTGGCAGGAGCCGAAAATCGAAACGCATGACAGGATCATAATACTGACAGCTTAGTTTCAGTTTTACTGCGGTGAAATGCTGATTAAACATGGTTTCTTTGTGGTGTTACAACTAGACCAGATCACACAGAGAGCTTCAGAAAATAATTTAGTGTGTTGGGACACAGATCTCTTTACAAATTCCAGCATCTCAGACAATCGTGGTTTTAGCTCTTCAGAGCCATTTAAGAGCTGTTGATTCAGCTGTAATTTTACACCAAAGATTAACCATGAGCGGGCATTCATGTGCTAAAGTCACTATTTAACCCTCTGAACCCCAGAGCTCAGCAGAGAGGGGGAAAGGCACGTTTACTTTTTAAAAATGCACAATAACATCTAAGCAAGACACTGTTCAATCAGAAAGAACACTCAGATTTCCAACTTTCCAGTGTTTCTGAATGTGACGTACAGTTTAGTCAAGAAAAATAAACAAAGAGAAGCTTAATTTGTGATATTTCATTGATGTTACTTTATTCAACCTGTCTCACTGAAAAATAACCAAAAATAAACTGTAAAACAGATGCTGTGACAAACTAAAAAATTCAGAACCCATCAGCACAAATAAGAGCCCATCAGTGACTCAGCAGCCAAATGATAAAAATTCTGTGACCTTTGGGTAACATGCAGGTCGGCTTTACACAGAGTAAAGACGAGGAAACAAAAAAAAAAACTGAGAGAAAAAAATCAAACATTCTTGATCAAAAAGCGTAAAATGAAAGATGTTTCTAGGGCTGATGTACAGAGCAGTATGAAAAGTGGTTGTAAAGATGCAAACAGGCCTCATCAAACTGGTATCTATTGAGTGTGAAGACCCATTGTTCTCCTGGACTGGTACAACTGTACATGTTCATTGAATATTTACACAATTTTGCAAAATAAATAAACTGTATTTTTTAAAATGATTTATGGCCTTTTAACTATGTTCTTCTAGCCATACTTGTGCTGTTTCCATAGAGGTGCAAGACTTCATATTGCTGTGAAAGGTTAGCCCGCAGTGAGCAAAAATGTGACACCCAGAAACTGCTGAGTTCAGAGAGTCGAAGGAGAAAGTTGTTACAAGGTGAGCCCACATGATAAGGCATGTCACGGTCAGTCCAGTCCACCTGCAGGTTCAGAGATA